ATGTCGTATTTTTGTCCATTTTTTAAACGTTCGTATTCACCTGAATGTGTTGAAGGTTTATTTTCATTTTTATCCTTAGTTTTATTCTTATTTCTCTTATTGTTATTGATATTATTATCGTGTGTTTATTATTATCAGTGTTTTTTCTCAAGAGGGTTATTATGATGAGGCAGTTTTGGTCCTAGTCAGTAATTTCATCGAAATATTTTTTTAAATAAACTGATACTGTCTTTTATTATTGAAGACGTTAAGATAAGTAAACGTAATTTAACAGTTTTTTTTTATTATAGACACTGTCGTTGTGATAGTAATTGTTATCAATCATCATCATTCTCGGTATTATCATCGTTCTCATTATCATTTCTATCCAATCATCACTCAATTGTCCGTGCCATCACTGTCCCACGCATCATCACAACCATCACCCGACTACAGACCACTTCAAAACCACCACCATCAAACACAACAACCATGCAGCGCACCAGCTAACCACCACTAATCAAACATCATCCACACAACAACCCACCATCACCACTGACAACCGCACCAACCATCACCATCACCACTACAACGCACCCAGCCAATGGTCACCATCATCCACTACAAACCACCCCACCCATCACGACTACAAACCACTTCAGTTCACCACCCACCATCAACATCACAACCATCACCCGACCCCACTAACAAAACCACCCACTATCAACATCAACCCACCACAACATCCCATCACCACTGGAACTACCACACATCACCATCACCACTCAAACAACCACATCCATCACCACTCACAAACCACCACCATCCACACTACAAACCACCACTCAAACCACACCCATCATCCACCATTGCCAACCAACAACCCACCAACCAATCATCAAGCCACCAACAGGACCATACACCATCACCAACACCACTACAAACCATCAACCGATCGACTCACTGACAAACCACCACAGTGGCCACCATCACACTAAACCAACCATCACCACTACACAACCACCTTCACCACCACCATCAACATCACAACCATCGCCACCACAACCACACGCATGCAATCAACCAACCACAAACCACCGGACCATCAACATCACCACCACCATACCACCCAC